ATAAGAAGAGGGAATAACCAATATATTTATAAAAATAAATGACATATAAAATGAAATGGAGAGAGTATTAGTTTTTGAAACTGGAAAAGGACAAAACACATATAAAATTAAAACACATATAAAAAAAAAGTTGGTTTAACTCTCAAACATAAAAAGTAACATATGTTATTAAAAACTTTAATAAAAAGTACTATAATTTACAATAAATAATAACTTAAAATATCTACAAGAGAACAAAAAAAAGACTAATTTTTGTACTGCTTGTGTCACATATATTAGGATTGGGATGATTTTAAAATTTTAATTTTGGTTATACATTATAAAATAGCCCAAAAATTGAATGATATAATTTTTAAAAAAATACCCGAATGAATCGTCCTATCGATAACCCTAATGTTACTTCTACTCTGTTTATTTTTACTTAAATTTAGAAAGATATGCTTCATTTCTACCCTCAATCTTATCGCTACATTTATTTGCTATTTAAAATTGAAATTAAAAAGACAAATGACAAATAAGTTTCTATATTAGCTCACTTATGAGCAAAATATATTATAACAATCTTTACTATTTTTATAACAATACATAAACTATACTCCCTCCGTCCCATATTAGATGGGCACTTCCAACTTTACACGGTGATTAAGAAATCATTAATACATTGGAAGACTTCACCATTTTGCCCTTTCTTTATATCAATGCACATTGAAATGAGTTACAAAAAATACACATACAATATAGGAATGGTCATATTAATTGTAGGGGTAAAATGGAAAAGAATTAATTAATTCTATCCTAATTTAATAAGTGCTCAAATAATATGAAAAATAAAAATTTAGTAAGATTCTCATCTAATATGGGACGGAGAGAATAACAATATAACTTTATTAATGTTGGGCCCGGGCGCTGCCCGGGCTTTCGTTACTAGTATAATTAAGAGAGTGAATCATCTTCTATTTCTTAGATAAAGTTGATATCTCCAAGGCAAATATGAAAATTTTAATTTAGACGTCTGGACAAATATTTGCACTAATGTTATATTGAATTATATTAGTAAAATTTTATTACTCATAAAAAAAAAATTGCTTTAGAAAAGTGTGCAGAAGAATTTTCAACTATAATTGGTTTATTTTCTTTCATTAGAAGTATGTGGTTGGTAAGCCATTTCTGAGGAAAGTAGACAAGTCATTCTGTGCTTCCAAATTGTTTGAAGGTCATGTCAAGTTCAGGATCTATCAACATAATATATAAAAATAATTTAAGAAAAACCAACATAAAATATTAATAATTTAAGAATTAATTATGAGAAATTTATGTATTTTTTATATAAATAGGAATTAGTTAGGTAGGATTTAGTTATTCATATATTATTTATTATGTCTTTTATATCTTACATAAAATAAAATATAGATTCTCTTGTTATTTTGTACATGTATTAGTTATATGAGTTTTTAAATTGCAACTATATTGTAATCGGTGTATTATATATTATACATAGCAAATAAAAAATATCAAATATAATATTACTTATACAAAATTAAATACATAAATAAATAAAAATAACTTTTAATCAGCTAACAAACGACCTTTTTAAAGTTTTATCACATATTTCTTATTGGAGATATGTACCTCTACGGCTCTGTATTCTTTATTGGAATATATCTTTTACTTTGTGAATTTTTAGCTAATATATTACTTGTTATAAATCAATATATGATAACTTTTTCCCCTTCTTTGATAAAACAAATCAAATTTATAATTAAAAAAATCAAGCATACCCTAACACTTTAAAGTCCAACATCCATATGACATAGAGGAACTTTAAAAAATAATGATATTTGAACTTTAATTATCAGTCACAATGATAGTTTGGCAAATTATCAAATATAGTAATAATTTACTTAAAAGAATTTGTGATGCAGTATCGATTCACCTTATATTTGTGTATTATTTTTCTCTATACTTGTTCTCTTTGTATTGATTCGCTTTGTATCAACGTGAACAGTTACAAAATGAATTGCTAATCATGTAGAGCTCATATTCCTTCAGAAACTCCTGCATATGTTAATCATGTAGGTTAGTGTGCAATTATTGCAATACTCAATTAAAACAAAACAATTATCATCAAGAATATCCTTGAAACGTAAGACACATGCGGGTAAATCGTGGTAAATGGGCATATAAGTACGTCCAAGATCAGAGCATTTGGTAATGGGATAAAAAACAAGTTATTTAGTTTATGTATAGCTTAGTGATATTTGGTAGATATATAGGAAATAATTTATTAATGTATAAAATTAATGTGATATTTCATTGACAATTTAGAAATCTACATAACTAATACATGTAAAAGTTATAAGGAAATCTATTTATTATTTTACAAGATAAAAGATGGAATAATTAATACATGTATAATTAGGGGTATGCAAAAATCGAACCGACCGATAAAGCGAACCGAAAAAATGTTATTGGTTTACTGTTATTAGGTTAACAGGTTTTATTGGTATTTTTCTTAAGAAAAATATATCGGGTTATTGGTTCAATTTTGATTTTTTAATATTAGGTAAACCGATAACTCAATAAGACGGTAATATTTACTATTTTACTCCTACATAAATATTAAATATTAATCTCAGTATCTTACTCGTTGCTATCTTTGGCCTTTAGTCTTCAATTCACACATCACAGTGACTTTGAGTTTATAACTTCACATTATACAAAACATCAAAACCTAAAGTAAGGGGCCGTTTGGTACAAAGATCAATAGTGCAGGGATTAGTAATGCAGAGATTGGTAATGCTTGGATTAGTAATGCAGGGATTATTTTTATCAAGTGTTTGGTCTGTTGCTTCCTACCTAATTTTGTGTGGGGTTTAAAAGTCTACAAATTGACGAACAATATTTATTTTTTATAGCCTTTATCACCATGTTCACTATTTTCTCACTTAAATTATTTAAGGGTAAATAATTGTCATCTTAATAAATTGAAATTAATATCTCAAAAGGTCACACAACTATAAGAATTTATAGAAAAAAGGTATTGAACATTGTATTACATCAATAAAATCATTCAACTTAGGACTTTTATCATACAAAACCGTTTTTATCATAAAATAAAAAAATACCAGAATAAATTAAACTATTTTTTATACTCAAGATGTTTTTAAATAGCAAAAATAGCTCTTAAATTCATACATCAACATTAGCAAATTAGTACGATTATAATATTTAATATTAATAATAATTAGATTAAATAACTCATATTTTAGCTACAAATAACTCTATTTAAATAATAAAGTTTGTAAGCTAATCGATTTAAATAAATTTATTAGTATAAATATAAAACATAAAACCAAGAAAATAAACAAAAATGAAAGGATTTGAGTGGGTATTTTTGTCTTTACATATATTAATCCCATGGTATTAGATTCATGTATTACTAATACCACCAAAATTGGAAGGTATTAGTTATACACCCTATAATACCATGGAGGGTGTATAACTAATCCATAGATTATTTATACATGGGCCTAAAATTCCTACCAAACATAGTACTACATAATACTACACATAATACAAGGACTATTTCTCCTAATACTCCCTACCAAACGACCCCTTAAAGAACCTTATTCCTCTTAATTTCTTTTTTTGTTGCACTTGTATAGTTCTTTTCATGTTAGTTATTACTGTTTCTATTTTATGAGTGTTTTGTAAAGTTACATTATTGCCTTGTCGCGTCAAATTATTGGAGAAATCGTATATTTATTTTATAAGTAATTTCTTATTGGTTAAATCGAAAATCAAATCGTTAAGAACCAAAATCAATAAAAAAAATATCTTATTGATTTGGTTACTGGTTTAACATATTTAAAAATTGAAAATCAATAAATCAAACTGAACAGATTGATGATACATAAATAACTAACACATATATAAAATAATATATATAGATTCATTAATAAGTAATTCCTATATTATTAATACTACGTAACTCTGACCAGCTACCCAACGACCCCTAATTGCTTGTGTACGCATTGCATAGAGAAAAGAGCGATTCAAGACAAAAGATAAACAATCAATGATTCCTTGTAGACTTAAAACATTGCTATAGTCTTTGCCTTTGGAATATTAGTTGGTGATAAAAGTCCAAAGGGTCAACGTCGTACGTGGAAATTTTAGTATAGTCCCTCTTCTCGGGTATTTACAAAATTAGAAAAATCAAATAATTCCAATCTCTCCGGTTCCTCTAGGGCGGTCTTAAATTTCTTACACGTGTCCCTTTTTAAACTAGAGGAACAAGATTTATTTAGTTAACTAAAAACTTTAAAGGGCTCGTTTGGTTGGAGAATAAATTATTTAAGAATCAGTTATTTCAGGATTGTTATCTTAGCTTTAATGTGAAATAAAAAAGTAATATTTACAATCCCAAGAAAACTATTCTCCGAATAAGTTATCCTATGATTTTATCTCAATAACATATGAGATAAATTTAATCTAAAATTAATTTCGATATTAGTTATTTCTTATCCTTCACACCAAACGAGCACTTAGGTCTTTCTACTTGGTTCTATATATATATGGAAAGTTTTACTCAATAACGTATGACATATTCTCTCAAACCATGCAGCATAAGAAAATTGTTAGTATGTATTTTTCTTTTTTCATGTGTTTGCTTTTAATCTTGAGATCAGCCAACGCCCAAAACACCAACAACAATACAGATTCTACTACAATCACAAAACCAGGATGTCCACAAAAGTGTGGAAACCTAACAGTTCCATATCCATTTGGAATTGGGTCAGGTTGTGCGTTAGACCCCGTATTTGAGATCGAATGCAACGTCACAACACCCTTCATAGGGAACGTTCAAGTGTACGACATCTCCGACTCAGAAATGCGCATATCTAACTCTGTAGTCTGGAGTTGTTACTCATCCGATGGAACACTTTTACTCCCAAATAATCCCATATCGATGAAAATAGGACCAACACACCCTTACAGTATATCAAACGTAAACAAATTCACTGTCGTTGGTTGTGATGACGGTTCTGTACTAAATGATTTTTACTTCGCTAGTGGTTGTGGCTCTCTCTGCAGTCATAATTCTAGTGATGCTGTTAATGAAGGAACATGTAAGCAAGAAAATGGTTGTTGTCAAATAGATATAACAAAGGGGATGAAATCCTTCGGAATAACAATGACTACCGTGTATAACCACACAGGAGTTTGGTCTTTCAATCCATGTGGCTACGCGTTCCTTGGTGAGGCCAATAGCTTTCAATTTCAGGGATTGACGGATCTAAATGATACGAATTTTGTAGAGAGGATTAACCGTAATGTTCCTGTCGTGCTAGATTGGACCATCGGAAATCTTACTTGTGTTGAAGCAAAGAAAAGCAAAGATTATGCTTGTTTGGTTAATAGCCAGTGTGTGGATTCCGACACTGACAGTATTGGTGGATATCGATGCAGTTGTAACCCGGGATATGAAGGCAATCCATACATCAATCCAGGCTGCCAAGGTAATTGACTTGATGTCCTAATTACTTTTATTACTAAGCTAGAAAGTGATTTTTTTTTTTTGTTTTAATAAAGAGAAACAAAGTATAAGAAGAAGTGATTTAATAGGTTGGGTGGTAGGAGAGAAACTGAAATTTCTAGGTCATTAAAATTAAAAGTTTTTTAAGGACAAGAATTCTCATGAGTCAATTCAGGTTACATACCAACTCAATTTTTAATGGATTGAAATGAGTTGAAGTAATGAATGAGCGGATCGATGACCCGCCCAAACCTAAATGGATTGGACGAGTTGAATTACGACAATAGGGTTTTCCCTATTTCTTACTCCACCATCACTACTCACTAGAAATAAAAAAGTAGTACCTTATCTGCCTGATTGAGGTGTGGACCTACCACATTGGACGTGAATTTTACTCAATGGACAAGTCGAGTCAGATACGAGCTGATGTAAAATGAATTAGATGAGAATGAATAGTATATTTGACTCAATCAGTAATTGATAAGGATAAAAATGGGTAAACTCCTTACTATTTTTCCCTTTTAGGGTATGTTTGGTATGAAAGAAAATATTTTCATATTTTTCTAGAAAATATTTTTCTGATGTAAAAGAAGTTTTGAGAAATATTTTTTCACTTTATGTATGAAAGTCATTTTTCTTAAATTAGAGGAATATAAGTCCATTTCTAAAAACACCTAAATCAATCAAAAAGAGAAAATTGATAGAAAAAAAAATCAAAAACATTTTCTTCATACCAAACACACACTTAATTTAAAATGCATGTATTAACTTTGTGTATTACTAGTACCTTGTTTGATACTCTTTTTCAACCTATGTATAACTAATGCTTGCATTAGTTATACACTCTATTGTGTATTAAGGTGTGCATTGCTAATACCATGGATTTCTAGGTATTAGCAATGCAATGGTTTTAATGCATGCATTAATATAATAAAAGACTCAATTGCCCCTCAAAACCTTTTTTACATCTTTTCCACCGTAAAAGTGAAGGGTATCTTTGTAAATAATTTTTTAATGCAATACATACTATTTTTAATGCATCAAATCAAACAACACATTAAAATAATCTATGTATAATTAATGCAAGCATAACTAATACATACATTACTAATACAAACATTACTAATACACTCTATTTAATATTATTCTTATACACTCTACTAAACGAGCAGTGCAATTTGTGGATACCCATGACTCATGAGTTATCTGTTTTCTATATTTTATAAGAGCTAATATACGTGTTCATCCATATTTGACCACTTTAAATGATTGGATAGTCAACCATTTAAAATACATTGGGTCGAGCGGATAACCATAAAATTTACCCATTTTGTCACCCCTATTCATCCATCACTAACGCATTGATCATTCACTCTCTCCAAAATTAGTACTCCCTCCGTCTTATTTTAAATTTTCCCCTTTAGCTCTTTTCATGCTCATTATGAATAATAATATATATAAGGTATACTTTATTAAATTATTTATATTTGTTAGATATTTTTTGAAAATTGAGTTTATTAAAAAGAAAATACTTTTTAATGCAAATTAAAGGGTATAGTTGGGTCTATTGTCAAGTTTAACCTTGAATTCCTAAAATGTCAATTATTTTTAGATTACTCCGTCCGTCCAATAGTATTCATAGTTTGACCATGATCTTTAAGAAATTACTCACCTTTATAAAGTAAGAAATGTTTTCACTAAATTACCATTAGTTTAATATTAGTATCAATTTAATGTAGTTTTTTTTGGCTATGTAAAAGCTCATCGATCTAAATAAAGATAATTTTGAAAAGAAAAAAAAATAATTTTTTTAATTATTTATGGAACTATTTACTTTAGATTGAATGCAAAGCTAAAAACACTATATAATTGAATGTGAATCTAAAAACACAACTTCCTCCGTTCCAGTCCCAGTTTATATTACTCACTTTCTTTTTTAGTCGGTCTAAAAAAGAATGACATATTTCTACATTTAGTAAGAATTTAACTTTAAAATATTCATTTTACACTTATTTTAGATCACAAGTTTCAAAAGTTATCCTTTTTTTTCTTAAACTTCGTGCTGAGTTAAACTAAGTCATATAGATTGAAACGGTGAAAATATTTCTTAAAGATAACTTTAAGAGATGAAAGTCATCTTAGATCATTTATCAAAAGAGCTCTAACTTTGATTAGGCAAAGAAACAACTTCAGTGAAAAACATGTTTCTCTCAGTAAGTTCACCCCAATTAGCTAACTTGTTAGCCATCATATTGCCTTCTTTAAGGCAATGTTGGAATAAATAGTTCCCATTAAAATTTAAGTGTTATATTTGTTGAAGAATTTTCATGACTTTCCCAGAGGGATTGAGTTCCTTGTTGATCATGTTGATGATGATTTGAGAATCAGATTCGATAATGACTTGATGGAAGTTATTGACGAGCACCATCACATCCGTTATTGTTCTGAGATAATGATCATTAACTAGATTAGCTAGTGAACCTATGCAAAAATATAAGATATAAAGGCAAAGCGCAAGGGATTAATGTGGTATATTTCTCTGCTTTGCATGTATCAGATATTAATGAATGTGCTCATTCAAGTACCAATATGTGTGAACACGAATGCATAGACAAGCCAGGGAGTTACACTTGTACTTGTCCAGAAGGATTCAGTGGTGATGGCAGAAAGGATGATCGTGGTTGTATTGCACCAAACTCGAACTATGAGTTCCCATGGATCAAGTTTTCTATTGGTATGTTTCTCAAAAATTGAACTTAGCTTGTTTATTGAAGTGATTAAAGGAATTCATCTCCTTTAAATTTTGTTGTTATAAATACAGGTATGGGAGTCGGCTTTATATCCCTTGTGGTTGGGACAATTTTGCTCTATTTTTGTATCAAGAAACGAAAACTCATTAAAAATAGGGAGAAGTTCTTCCAACAAAATGGTGGTTTACTCTTGAAACAACAAATCTCTTCTATAAAGGGTGGTGTGGAAGCAAGCAAAATATTTACAGCTGACGAGTTGAAGAAGGCTACGAATAACTATGCCAGTGATAGAATTCTTGGTCGTGGTGGAAATGGAATTGTCTATAAAGGTATTCTACCTGGTAATCGCATAGTTGCAATTAAAAAATCTAAGTTTGTGGATGAGAATCAAGTTGAACAGTTCATCAATGAGGTACTTATTCTTACTCAAGTTAACCATAGAAATGTAGTGAGACTCTTCGGGTGTTGTTTGGAAGATGAAGTGCCTTTACTGGTTTATGAATACGTTTCTCATGGAACTCTTTACGAGCATATCCACAACCAAAATGGAGTCCCATGGTTATCTTTGCAAAATCGATTGAGAATTGCTTCAGAGACAGCAAGTTCACTTGCTTACCTTCATTCATCTGCATCCATGCCAATAATTCATAGAGACGTCAAATCCACTAATATATTATTGGATGATGTTTATACAGCAAAAGTGGCGGATTTTGGAGCTTCAAGATTAGTCCCTCTTGACCAAACACATGTTGCTACATTGGTTCAAGGAACATTAGGGTACTTAGATCCTGAATATTTCCACACAGGTGAATTGACAAATAAAAGTGACGTTTATAGTTTTGGAGTAGTTCTTGCCGAACTTTTAACAGGGATGACACCTATTTTGAGGGATACAAGTGACAAGTACAAATGTTTGGTGGAGCACTTTATCTCGTCGATGAACAAGAATAACATATTTGAAATTCTTGATGATAGAGTTGTAAGAGAAGGAGGTGTTGAGCAACTTCAAAAGATAGCTGAGCTCATTAAGGGTTGCCTTCAGTTGCACGGGGAAGATAGGCCTACGATGAAGGAAGTGGCTATGGAACTTGAGAGTTTAAGAAAGTTCACTAGCCCTTGGACTAATGAACACGGACATGAAGATCATAATGAAGTTGAATTAAACGATCTGTATATAATTCCAATTGATTCTAATACAGGTATCGACAACTTCTCTGGACAATATCCCAGTTCCTACACAAATAACAGCCTCTTCTTGGGACAATATAGTTCAGATAAATCTTCATTACTACTCAATACAAATATCCCGCGGTGATCCAAAATAAAATGTCAATATGATAATTAGTGATGATATAATTTTCTATGTTTTGTAAGTTTCTTTTCTGGCTATCTTTCTTTCATATTGAATGTATGTTGTTATGTATTTTATTTGCTTTTGAATTTAATCATCAATATATTGTTCATTGTATTAGTGACAAGAGTTGAAGTAGATGTTTGTTGTGATTCTAAATTGTCACATAATTCCTATAAGATTATTCCTTAGTTGACAAGTTGAAACCAACACACTTGGTTCATATCCAATGCTCAAACCAAAAATAAAAAATGGTTATTTAACTTTCAGTTTAGGGTTAAGTTTATTTTTCATGTGCTTTGTTCTACTATGAAGTTGATAAGGCAACCACTTCCTGCCTCTTAAAGCTCCATGAAACTGCTCCAAATCCAAAATCAAACAAGAAATCATGCGTGCTCTTTTTGACATCAATGTTGCATGCGTAGTCACTATTAGTGAAATCAGTTAATGTGAAATTTATTATCTTAAAATATCAAATTCAATTTCAAGCTCCGTTGTCCCAACGATATATCTCAGTATTCTCTTTGCAGCTCCAAGGTGAAGCTCTCTTAGATTGTGCATAAATCTAGATACGACGTCAACTGAGAAAGAAATGTATGGTCTTGTATGATACAAGTAATTCAAACCACTAACCATACTTTTAAAATAAGTTGCATTTAACCATCATCACGACACAACTTCTCATTAATATTCATCGGAGTAGCATCAGTTTTATAATTAACCATATTAATTTTTTTCCGAAAGATTTGTTGCATAGTTTCTTTGTGAAAAAAAATATGCCATCACCTCCCTGTTTCACCTCAAGACAAAAGGAAATAATGTAGCGACTAGAATCATACATTTCAAAATTCCTTATCATGCAGCCTTTAAATTCAATGACGATAGATTCACTCAAACCCATATTTTATCATATTGTCAACGTAAAGACATACCCGCAAAAAAATCATTTTAACTTCTCGTTTTACATCATCAAGATTAGGTTCATTCTTACTTCTTTCAAAATCATCTTCGTGGAAATAAGAGTCAATCTTGAAGTATCATGCCTACAAGGCTTTATTTAAGCCATAGAGTGCCTTTTTAACTTGTAAATCTTATCTTCTTTGATATGAACTACAAAACCTTCAGGCTGTGATACATAAACTTTCTCTTCCAAATCACCATTTCAAAATGACAAATTTAATATCAAATTGGTACACTGGTCAATTTAAATTAGCAAGCAAGGCTAATAAAGTTTTCACAGTTTCAAAGCTAGCAAAAGGAGAAAAAGTTTCATTGAAGTTGATATATACCTTGTTGTTGGGAATAAACTTTTGCGGCAAGCCTTTGCCTTGTGTTTTTGGATGTTGCCATCTACATGATACTTTGTTCTGAGCACCCATTTGAGCCCAATATCTTTCTTTCCTTCTAGAAAATTAACCACTCATCTTTCATAGCTTTGCATCATTTATCCTCTTTCTTAGAAATTTCAAAGAAAATAGAATCCGAAACAAGTAAAGCAAAAGTACATATTATCAACATATTTGGAATTTGATTTTTTATCCTTTGTTAATCTTCTTAATAGAATTGGCTCAGTTGAAAGTTCTTTCAGTGTTGGAAAAGTTTCTGGTGCATGAATTGATGAGGTAGTCGATGAGAAAAGGATCTGTTATATATATGCTCTTGATTAATAATATCATCATAAGGCAATAACTGAATAGTTGAACTTTCACTCTCAGAAATAAAGTTCCAACTTTCGTTTACATTGAACACAATATTTTTACTGGCTATAGTTTTGTCATTCATTGGATTGTATAGCTTATAAATCTTGAATTGTGTGATATATTCAATAAAGATCCATTTTTCATCAAGCTTATGTCGACCTTGTAAATTTATCAAAGCATAAATTACACACATATAAGTAGTTTATCTTGGAACTTGTTAATTGTTATACCTCTCCAAGCTTCATTTGGTTTTTGGTTTAAAATTGTTTTGGTGGGCAAAATATTTAGCAAATAGACACCACTAGAAACAACTTCATCGCAAAAACACTCTAGTACATCTCCAAGTTCCATCATTCTTTTGCTCATCTCGACAACTATGTGATTATTTTGTTTGGCTATACCTTTTTGTTATGATGTATGAGGTTGTGGGCCTAAAGAATGGTTTCAATTCGTTCTAAGGTGTAGAAAATCCATGTTTATGAGGATTTTAGGGTGTAGACCTTGAGCTAATCTTAAGAATGTTTATTCTTGATATATTTATCATAATTCACTAGTATAACCATGGAATTTATAGTTCTAGGTGAATTATTAGTGGAAAACCCTAGAATTGGTGGAAAAATCATGAGGTTAACCTAGGATTTGATATTTAAGTCATTATATGCAAACCCTAGGATTTGCATATAATTAATCTTGATATATTTAAGTCATTTGTGATTGATTTTGCATTATACTATTATTTTAGACCAAGAATAAGCTGAAGTTTCACACAAGGAGTCAAGGTTCGCGATCAGACTTCTACATCAGTTTCTTGGCGCCCAGGTAGGCTAGGTTTTATTAATTAAGTAGTTAGACATGTTTTCTACTGCATGGTATGTGGATTGATGGGAGGTTTTATGCCTAGGCCTTCGGGTATGGAGTCTGGATAGTTAAATATTGTTGTTTATTGTTGTTAGGGTGGAAAAAGATAATGACTATGGGTAGTTCTTTAGTTCTTGATTGTTAATCTTGAGTTTCCTTTATTGGGATGATTTGATGTTAGTTGTAAGGTTATGTGTTTATAAAATTGTTGGGTTATAGCCATTTCTGGAACTTGTGGTAATCAAGAGGAACTAAATAAACGAAAAGAGTATCGATTCATGATACTAGGGAGGTATGTCCCGGGGAATGAATGTGTGTACTCATAATGGGACTTAGTATTGAGCAATTGATACATAGGTGATGGTTTATGTTGTCCAACACACATGCACGCACGCGCACGCACACACATATATGCATGTTTACTGCCAAGTAGTATTATTTGTGCAATGCATGGGATGGGAGAGATACATATGCAAAGACATCATATAGTTAATCTCATGTATTAAACTTGTGATTCTGACATGTGGTTTTCAAGTGGTCTTGCTCATTTTGCTATGTGATTATGCATGATTGTTTGTGACTATTGGTTGGATCAAGTACCACGCTGGTACAAGATATATAGTTGGCTTGTGTCACGCCCCGAGCATACACCCTGGACGTGGCCGGCACTCGAACACCATTGCTGGCCCCCAAGCAAACCCTTGGTCTGGCTTTCTTAACTCAGCGGAAACTTAACTCAACAACATAACTCAATGCAACGCAAGGTTATAAAACAACCTAACGGACAAAAATCTGGCCAAAAAGGCAACTCGAGTCCCAAAATAGAATATTTACATATATACATAGATGAGAGACTCAAAACCAACTGACTGACTGTCTATGAAGCCTCTATAATACTGAGATGGATGTTGGGATAGACCCCACAACATCCTAATAAAACAAAACTAAGAGAACAAAATAATCGAGTCCTCCGGAATGCAAAGAGGCTCACCACTGACTCTGAAGCACTTAACTGGATCAACGGCGAACCGGATGCTGGCCCTTGGTACGTGTGTCTGCATCATAATAAAATGCAGGCCAACTGGCATCAGTACATTGAATGTACGAGTATGCGAGCTGGAAAGCTAAACCACAACTTAAGCTTGGAAGGAGTACACAAGAACTCTTACCTTGACTCTGTTCAACTCATGAATAACTGAACTCAATATATAAAGCAATAAGACACATGCAATATATAAAGCTTGTAAAATAGTGTCAACAACTTAGTTCGTTAAGGATAAAACGTTAACAAACTCAACTTTACTTATATAAAAGTAATATATAACTTTTGTGGGAG